TTCAAAATCCAATAGATAATGGAATATCATTCAGCCATAAGAGAGAATAAAGTAATAATCATGCTACAATATGGATGAATCTTGAAAACATTAGGCTAAGTGGTGAAAGTAGCAAGTCACAAAAGATCCCATATTATATGGTCTCATTTATATTAAATGTCCAGAACAGGCAAATCCGTACAGACAGAAAGTAGATTAGCAGTTGCCCAGGGCTGAGGGGAGAGGGCACGAGAAATGATTGCTTAATAGTTTCCGTTCAGGGCGATGAAAAAATTTTGGAACTGGAGAGTGGTAAAAATTGCACAACACTGTGAATGGACTGAATGTCACTGAACCGGACACTTTAAAAGGGTTTAAATGGTAAATTCTATGTTATGTGTACTTTACCACAATAAAAAACAATCGAGCGAAAAATAGTAACTCAGTGGGTTTGAATAAGCATCAGAAATGGGCATTTTTAAGGCTCACAGAGCCACGTGGGCATGCTGAAATACACCCTTGGGGAGCAGGATGGGCAGACAGCAAGCTGTCCATTTCCCATCCCTCCTTTATCTCCTCAAAGTTCCCCAAAGGAAAAATAAAGTCCACGAAAAACACATAAGAGAATATTGCAAGTTCCTACGGTTTGTTGACAGACATCATATGGGAGTGGCATCCGAGAAGGAAGAAAAAACAGAGAAAGTACAAGGAAAATCCAGAAGATCTGAAATATCTGACTTGATTAGCTATTTTCAGGAGAATGTCTAGGTCGCCCCATTTCTTGGGGGGAAAGTTATTCAGGTTGATTCCAGGCTTTGCTGCAATAAATATCCTTGTGAATATTTCTTTTTTACACCCATGGGAGGATGCTTGTGCAGCCTGTAATTTCCTAGAAGTGAGACCAGTGGGAAAAAGCATCAAGGCAATTTCCACTTTGAGAGTCATGGCGGGGAGGGAACAGCGCAGCGGTAAAGCGGGTGCTTAGCAGGCGCGGGGTTCTGGGTTCAGTCCCCAGTACCTCTGTTAATAAATAAAAATAAATAAACCCAATTACCTCCCCCTAAAAAATTTTAAAAAAAAGAAAATTATTGCCAAATTGCTTGCTCCCCCCCACAATTGGTCGAACTCACGTATCCAAGTGTTCTCACAATGTATTGAATGTATGGATGTATTTTCTCAATCCTTTAGATTGGGTTTCCTGTTTTCCTGATTGTTGGCAAACTCAGTTAAAATGACACAGGCACTTCTCTAACTGAGGAAGGCTGAACATCCTTTTATACATTTGACCACCTTTTGCATTCTTTTTTTTGTTTGTTTTTCCCCTTGTCAGTGATCTGTTTGTATGAGTGGCCGATTCATGTCTATTGCCATTTTAATTTTGGCAAACAAGAGTTTGGTGTGTTTTTTTCTCGCTGAAAAAAATTAATATTATGTATCATATGTTCTGTAACATCATATAACACAGTGCTCTTTATCTGTCACTTAAGTTGCATATATTTTTCTCACTTTAAAAAATCTGACGGTTGTCTTCATGTACGCTTTCTTTTGCTATTCATCCAGCATAATTTTGACATAGTCAACTCAGTTATTTTTAGATTTTAGATTTGGGATCTGTGTCTTGCTTAAAGAGACGTTCCCCGCTTTGCAAGGGTGAAGCACAATTTCCACATCGTAGGGGTGTATAGTTTCATTTTTGAATGGCTGTGGAATTCATCAAGTACATTTTTAGCAGCATGGAGATGCCCGTGCACCTCCTCTTTCTGGACCTACGAGTGCTGCGATCTTAATGACTTAAGTTCCCTAGCACTGAACCATCTTCGCTTTCCTGGCTCACGTTCCAACCTGATCCTGGTAGAAGTGTCGTGTTGTTTTCATCTTCTGCCTGGTTCTTGTAGTAAATCCTTGCTGCTGGGTTTTCGCACTACTATTCACAAGTGCAATCAGTCCATAGTCCCCCCACGCCCCCTCCCCCTCCTAAACGTAATGTATTAAAGCAAGTTTCTGTGACAACAAGGGAATCAGGATTTATATTTGGTTTCCTGCTTTAATGTAACAGAAAACAGCTAGATTGAGGGAGACTGCACTGAAAGGCCCTGTTAAAGGGAGACCCCAGCAGGGTGGTGGTGGGGGCCCCCCAAACCCTCCTTGGTAAAAACAGAAGGAGAGCAGTGCTTGGTGCTTATATGCATGAGCTGTGAAACGATCTCTCTCTTTAGACCACGCCTTCCAAGTAGTGTGTTCAAAACGTTAATACGAAGGAAACAAAGCCAAACAAAAAGTCCCAAACAGTTCATCAAAACTTTAAAACTTTCTATTTTGACCTGATGTCAGACCTCCAGAAAAGCTGCATCAATGGTACAGCCAGTCCTTGCATGCCCACCTGTAACCGAATTTACCGACTTCCTCACACTTTCTATCAATCTGCTTTGTCCTCTCTTTCTGTCTCTTTTTTTTCTGAACCATTTGAGAGTACGTTGCAGATATTAAGCTTTTTAACCCCTACGCTGATCATTCAGTGTGCAGCTCCAAAAGAAAATCCAGGAACAACTCTGATCGCTGAGTTAGGGTAATGCCTGCCAGGTCTCTCCTCTATGAAGCTACTGTTTATCCTTTCTTTCATTATTGGCAAGTGTCCTGTGCAGAGGTACTTGGAGACCGTGGAAATATCGTGTTACTTCTCAAACCTCCAACTGTTCGTTTTAGCATACATGGTGGTTCGTGCAGGAGACAGTTGTTTTGGATTTTAGCGAATGGTGGTGTTTTACTTCCATTCTCATGATTTTAATAAAAGGCAGAGGTTGACTTTCAGTGTTTAGATGCTTGGGGTTTTGGGGAGTAGGGGGGAAGGAGGGGCATTCACAAAAGAAACAGTGAGTATTTGTAGGAAGTGGTGGTGTCTTAGTCTTCTCCCAGCAAGTCCCAACTGAATGCTTCTTCTGACTTCACATCCAGCATGGAAGTCCTGCGTGCAGAAGGATTTCCAGAGGGCAGCATGTGGCCTGGAATTTCAGTGTGGGCTGCCTGTCTGGAATTGTGGGGACTCTGGTGCATCAGAGGGAAGCTCAAGAAGGAAGGGGAACATTTACCTAATCCACAATTCTTGAAACCCTGGGACTGCAACTTCCTCCTATTCATTCTCCTTGGATCCATTCTTGCTTTTTTTTTTTTTTAATGATTTTTTGGAGGGGGGAGGTAATTAGGTTTATTTATTTATTTTAGAGGAGGCACTGGGGATTCCCAGATCTCATGCATGAGCATGTACTCTGCCACTTGAGCTATACCCTCTCCCCTTCCTTGGGTCCATTCTTGCTCCATTTTTGACCGAGATACATTGGAAAGGAAATCCGATTATGTTGGCACTTTTGTCTAAACCCTCTATTGCCTCTCTGTTGCTTTTAGGATAAAAGCAGGGGTGGGGAGAACCTTTCACATCGTGTATCCGATGTCCTACCCCTTCTAGTCCTGCCTATGAGCCCAGCTTCCCCTCTTCTTTGCCCGTGCTCTGGCTACAGTGCCTGATTCATTTGTGAGAACGCCAGCCTGTCCTCTGGGCCTTTGCATGTGCTGTTCCCTCTACCGGGAACACTTCTGTGATGTTTCCCTTGGCCAGCTCCTCCTCATCTTCAGATTTCTGTTCAAAATCACTTCTTTGGAGCCTCCTTCCCTCCCCCCCCCCCAGCTTACAACATGTACGATGTTTAATTACTAGCACTCTCTCCCACTAGACTGTGAAGTCTACAAGGAAATAGATCGTGTTTATTTTGCTCACCGCAAATCCCCATTACTGCATGTTGATCCTTCCATTCAACAAATATTTATTAAGCCACGGATATGTCAGGCACCGGGGTGTAAAATTGTGAACAAGACTGACAAGATTTCTGCCTTCCTGGGAAGGGACAAAGACACACACAAAATAACTCCAAATTTCAGATAGAGACACTGGCGTGATGTAGAAACAGGGACTGGCACCAAGGAAGGAGGGGACGGGGAGCATTTGCAAAGGGTGGTCAGGGGTGGCTTATTGGAACAGAGAGGTGGAGCCAGGCGCTGGAAAGATGGCCTGGGGGAACAGCCCAGGGAAAGGCCAGGAGGCAGGGATAGGTTTGGGTCGGAAGAACAGTGGGCCCAGCTCCAGGCCAACAAACCTTTGTTTAATAGAGGAGGAATGAATGCCTTCAGCCAGACTTGTGCTGGGTGCTTTCTCAGGCTTTATTTCCCCTGCAGCTCCCCCAGATCCCGCACGCAGGTGTTATTAGCATCACACGGGTGAGGCCAACCCAGCGACAGTAAAAGTACTCCTTCAAGGTCACCCAGGAAGTGAAGGGTGAAGGAACCAGTTTCCCACTGGGTTCTGGCTTTCCTGTCCTTGAGGCCCCTCGTCCTTCTTCAGCAAGGCCGGTTGACCATTGTCATGTCCTATCCGTGAATGGCATTTGCTGGACACTCTAACACACGTGGACTCTGGGGCTGCGGGTTGAAACCTGGCTGTGCCCACCTGCGCTGTACCCCAGCGTCCCCTGCGCCTGGTGTGCATTCTCCCCAGTGTCGTTTCTCTAACCTGAGCCGAGCGGAGGGGCCCCGGCCACGGAGAACGCCGAGCGCGCGGGGCGCGCGTGCACGTGGCTGTCCCCAGGGGCCTGGCGCTGGGCAGGGCGCGCTCGGGGCCGGACCTCTGGGGCGCCCGCGCGCTCCAGGACGACACTCGCTGGCAGGACTGGGACGAGGGTGAGGCGAGATCAACATTTAAGGGAGTATCAAAAAGCCGAGCAACCAAGATAAGCAGTATTTTAACGCAATATTAAAAAAAATAAAAACGAATCCTCCGAAGTCCTCTAGGAACGAAATAACAAAACGTTAAAGACGGGCTCCGTCTTGCTGGCGCGGGCATCTGGGCCCCCCTCCCCTCCCCCCAGGCTCGGAGACGGGAGGCGCGGGGCCGGGCAGGGATCTGGGGCGCC